TAACGTCCGGCAGGAAAACAAAGTCACCACCCACAGGAGGGCTGGGATGAGCTCTGCACACGTTGACATTCAACGAACATGCAAATATATGTAAATAGGCATGCAAATAAGCAGCATCTTTTGCGTCAAAGACTTGGGCACTTTTTCTGGGCGACTGCAGCAGTAGGCGCGCTCCAGCGTTGTCTGGGGCTGGGAATGCGAGGGCCCGGGTGGGGTTCAGGGAGGGGTTGCAGTGCCGCCAGAGGGGAGGGTGGCATGGCTCCCAGCCCTTCCATCTGGGCCAGGCAGGCTGGGGCAGGGGCTGCCTCCTCCCGCAGCCCCCCAACCCCCAGCTCGCCAGGAGGAGGGCAGGAAAGCAGCATCTAGTACTTAGCGATGTCCCCCTTCTTCAGGATGATCTGTCGCTGCCAGGGTGCCAACTTGGTCTCATCGTAGCCCAGTGTCCGCAGCTTCTCTGACTGCTCTTTTTCTCGCTGCATCTCCTCCTGCTTCTGTCGTTCTTCCTCTTTCCTAGACATGGGGTTGAGGCAGAATCACCCGCAAGGGTGAGAGGGTGGGCCAGGCACCATGAGGGCGCAAAGTGGCAAGGACTGGGTTACTGAGGGCAGAGGGACTGATGAATGGTAGGCATGGCAGTAGGTTCTAGGGGCAGAAGTGCTGGGGGACTGGGGACTGGGGTTGGGTTCGGAGGCACCCAGTGAGGATTGCTGGGGATAGATTGGAACCACTGGAGCACACGTAGGAGCTGGGTGAACAAGAGGCTGTGGCTGGGCTGTTGCTGGCTGGGGGTGTTACTGGAAACAGATGCTGGGTCACAGTGTGGTAGAGGGCGAGGAGTGGTTGTTATGAGGGAAGGGGATGAGATTATTGGGGCTAGGACCTGAGTTACTGGGGCTTGAGGTTGGGCTGCTGGGGAGCAGAGGGACCACATTATTGGGAGACAGGGGCTGGGTAATTAGGGACAAATCATTAAAACAGGGCTAGATCTGCACTGCTGACAAGGTAGCTGCTGAGCAAATATGGCTGTTGAGCATTTGAAATGTTAGGATTGAGATGTGTTGCAGGCATACGATGCATATGGCATCTCAAAGACTTAGATTTAAAAGAGTGTAGGACATCTTGCCCTAGCAGGTTTGGCTCAGTGGTTAGGGTGTTGGCCCATGGATGGAAGGGTCCTGGGTTTGATTCTGGCCAAGGGCATACACCTCGGTGCAGGCTCCATCCCTGGCCCTGGTTGGGTCAAGTGCAGGAGGCAACCAATCGATGTCTCTCTCTCACATCTATGTTTCTCTCTCTCTCCCAGTCTCTCTGAAAAGCAGTGAAGAAAAATATCCTCAGGTAAGGATAAAAAAATAAGTTAATTAAAAAACGTAGGACATCTCATTAATATTTTTTATATTGATTATATATTGAAACACGTGACTTCAATTACAGTGATAATCATTGAGATATATAACTGAATTTTGATATATTGGGTTATGTAAAATATACTATGGCAATTAAGTTTCACCTATAACAACAACAACAAAAAAAAGCCTGGCCGGGCGTGGCTCAGTGGTTGGCCGTTGACCTAGGATCCAAGCGATCAGGGTTCAATTCCCTGTCACATGCCCGGGTTGCGGGCTGCAGCCGATCAATGACTCTCTCATCATTGATGTTTCTATCTCTCTCTCTCCCTCTCCTTTCCTCTCTCTGAAATCAATAAAGATATATTTAAAAAAAAAAAAAGTTTCACCTATATCTTCTTTTTCAACTGGGCTACTATAAAAGTTAATGTTATATATGTGGCTCACATTATATTTCTATCAAGTAGCACTGGGCTAGATTACTGGGGGTAGCAACCAAGGTTGAGGGAAAGATGGTCAAGGTTATTGATAACTGAGGTCGGGTCTACTCATAGGGTTGGGTTTTCTCATTGATAATGAGAGTTGGGGGCTGGGTAACTGGGGACATGGTCATTACAGCGTAAGAGCTAGGTTCTGGGGGACAGGGGCTAAGTTATCAGGGGCGAGGGACCTGGTGGCATTATTGGGAGCAGAAAGACTGTGCTACAGGGGTGAGTAACAAGGGGATGTACTCAAGATGGGACTAGATGAAGGGTCAAAAGGACAAGCCTCTGTGACGGGGTGTGGGGAGGGGAGGTAGGGTGGGTGCAACCCTGCACTCACCGCTTCTGCTCCCTAGAAGGAAAAAAAGAGAGCATTAGTTGGTGCCACCACCTCAGGGACACAATCAAGACACCCCGCCAGACCCCAGATCTTTTGGACCCCAGCTCACCTCTCCTCTTCTAGCTTCTTCCGAAGGATGTCCCGCCTCCAGGCAGGCATGCCGGCCAGCCGGGCCTCCTCCTCTTCCTCCTAAAACATAAGCACAAAGCTTCAGGGCCAGCATGGGCTGGGAGGTAGGGGGCCAGAGGGGGTGCACGCCCAACCCGGGGGACCTGCAGGAGTCAGGGACAACAGGACCCACATGGCATTGCAGGAAGAGACCCTTTTGATACCCTTCTGTTGGGCAAATGGATGAAGGTGCCTGGCCACAACCCCCTTGGAAGAGGCTTCCTGCCCCCCTCTCCCCCTTATAACTTAGACCTGTATCCTAGAGGTGGCGCCAAAATGGTCAGAGCCGAGTGTAGGAGGTGTTCTAAGAGAGCACAGAATGAGGTTCCCCACCGAGGCAGGTGGACAGATGGCCCCAGGCCTGCGACCCACAGGTCCTGGGCCCCACAGTCAAGTGACCCACATACTTGGGCCCCCACAGACCCTGCGAGCTCTGAGAGGCTCAGGTTCCACTGTGAACCTTCTGGCTCATTCCTGTCCTGTTCCCAAATGGAGCACACATCAACTCTACAACTGTGGTGGGGGGGCATCCAACACAGGCAGCTTAGAACAAAGAGTTTTATTACTTGCATGTTACAGAGAACACGTCACACAGAACACTGCACACGTGGCTCCCTTGACCTCAACCAAAGAGGTAGCTGTGAACTCCAGTAAAAATCCAGAGAGAGAAAGAAAGCCACAGAGCCCCAAGGGGGGCCCACAGTCCCTTACTCAGAGGGGCTGTTTCTTCCACCTGGCTCCACACAGAGCCAGGCAAGGCTGTGGGGCCAGAGGGGACACCTGGTTTGCCCTGCGCCAGGCCTGGCCTATCCTGGCCAACTCTCCACATCGGGCCATGATGGGACCTCAATGGCCGAGGCAGCCCTGAGCGCTCTGGGTTTTCCAAGGCCAC